CTGTGATTTTTATACTCATAGAACTGTTTATGATTATAGGCCAGTGTTGCCTGAAGCATTATTTGAAGTTATAGCTACTTCAGGGCTCTTATTTTTACTGAAAATAATAGATGCTGATGGTACCAATTCACACATAGACAGGCATAAAGATCCTTATTCCTTTCACAGAGGCAGTTATCACTCTGACTAGTTTTTTATGTTCAAGAAATATTCTATCACACACCGTAATTTCTTACTGATAGCCATAAACATGTAACTACCCAGGGCTTTATAATGTTTCTTGTGGATGAACCACCGTAACTGTCTGAAATTTAAGGTTTGTTTTAAAAATTATGAAAAAGATATTTCTACTTTAGAAAAAATGTGGTATATAATGGGGATTTTTGTAGCAAATTCTCACAACGATGCTTGGGAGAAGTTGTTGAATATTCCTAGGGATGAACTAGAAGGTTTTTAACATTGGGATCCCCTAGAGGTCTATAGTCATCTTAAAGGGATGTATTCTAGGGTTGGAAACAGCTAGAGATGGTGAGGGGCCCTTTATTCAAGATTGGGTTGGATGAGGCAGAGATGATGATTAAAAGTTAATGAGAAATGGGAAATAACCAGGGAATGAAATTGACCAAATTATGTTATGCAAGTATGAAAGTGTCATGATTCCACTATTATGTATAATTGCAAAGCATAATAAAAATCATTATACAAAGAGGGAAAAAAAAAAGATCTCATCAGCTTACCTGAAGGGGACAGCTCTGAATGTCTGTGGAAGGAAGGAAGGGAGGGAGGGAGGGAGGGAGGGAGGGAAGGAGTTAATGAGAACAATCACAAAGTTGTTTATTGGTTAAGCCACTATAGTCTGTACTTCCCTAAGTGTAGTCCTCTTTCACATTGTCCTATTTAGCTGTTTCATTTTTTTTGTACTACACTTTATATTTAATTTCCACAATAACTCCATGAGGTAGGCAGCATTATTCTCATTTTATAGATGAGGAAATGGAGGATTTTTGCATAAGGTGTAATTACTGGAGGCTTAGAACTCAATTCAGGTTCTCTAATTCCTGTTCCTATTCATTCTCTCTTCATTTCAATATAAGAGTTACACCTACACTTTCTCTGTTAAATGTCACCACTTAGAGTAAGAATAGTTTCAAAACAGAGATCATGGATTACTTCAAATGTTTGTATTTGTTTTAAAAGTAACAAGGGAAGTGGGATAGGGAGTGTAGACCTATGTTAATATTTTAAAATTTGGCCATTACAGTGAGGCAGTTCAGTAAGCATTGATGAACCTATGGTAGTGCACCCTATTTAGAAACAAAAATACCTTTTAGAATCAACTGTTTGAATTCAGAATTTTGAACACTTGAAGATGATGTGCTATAGACTGCATTTCAGGTAGCTCAAGGCTACCTGAAGTTTGTATGGCAGAGGACCTGATTCCTTTTTTCTTGTTCATTTCCTCTGTCAACATGAGTTGCTTGTCCAGATGTGGATAACTGTGTACTGATGGATTTTTTTCACTTGTGATGTTTTGCATTTCCACTTCTGATACACTATGAGGGCAGAGTTGATCATTCAGCAAAACAAAGACACATCTGCCTATAATCTGAATCAGAGGGAGGTTTTGCTCTGAAAATTTGAAACTCCAGTTTCCTTATTTCCTTCTTTTATGATTCTGAGATTATACATAGGGAGAGGACTTGTAAATAAATTGTGTCCTTTTCTGTAGGAAGTTGGTAGAAAGGAAACATGTTTAAAAAGTGCTTGAATTATTTGCATCTCAAAAAGTTCAGACTTTTTTTCTTTTTGTCCTTTAGTTTGCCAAAGAAACTAGAGTGCATAAAAACATCTATTAGCAACTGTCTTCTTCGTGGCTCAGGAATCAAAACTTCAAAGTATCATCTGAGACAAAGGAGATCACAGAATAAATTTTTTCTGAGACAAAGGAAACCACAGAGAAAGTTGCAGTCAATTCATCTGAAGGAAATACAGCAGTTCTCTTCAAAGAGTGCTACAGACACCAGTGCTAAGTGGAGACTCTCATGCCATACAGTTCAGAGAACTGATCCTGGTCCTAACAGTAAGCAGCTCTTGAGTAGCAGACTTTCAAGTCCTGTCAAACAAACTAAGGAGCAACAGATTCATGAGAACCTCCTAGGAAGCAATGGAAGTGAATGTGATTCATGGATAAAAATACAAATAAACAAAGAGAGTATGCCAGAATCTGTTAAGGAGACAGATGACATTGATGACATTTTTGCTTTAATGGGAGTTTAGATGTTCATATGTGAGACTTTTAAGTAGTTAACAATCTGAGTCAGTCTTCTGCTGTTTTAAGAGGAGCTGCTTCTGTGTAACATCACATAGGAGTTCATTTTGGTTCAGTAAACATTTATAGTTGCTTTGTGCCATTTATCAACAAGTGTTTATTTTGTTTTGACTACATGACAGGTATTAAGATGAAAAGTCTGTCAGTCTGCCCTTGAGAAACAAATGTAATTCCTTGACTGGGGCTGATAGGTCCCTAAAAATTTGAATAGTTTTATGATTTACCAGGGAATGAAGACCTGAATAATAAAGTTTGCAAAAACTCCTGTGCCTTAAGGTAAATGGGGAGTAAATTGGAGACTAGCAAGGAAGTACCCTTGAGGGTCACTTAGTCCTTTAAGTCCACCTCTAAATACCAATGTTTATAGCTTCCATCCATTGTGCTGTCTTGTTTATGTATTAGACTGAATTATTACTGTTTTGTCAGTAATTTGTATTTATTACCAGAGACAGGGAACAACCATTATTTCTCTTCATTTGTTCACCTTATCCCACAGGAGGGTACATTAAAATACTTTTGAAGTTTTTCAATAGATTTTTAGTTATTTGTTAATATTATTGATGTGGTACCAATCAAGGATTTTTTTTCTCCCTAGTAAACCTTTTCCATTAGGGATATAAGATGGCTTGTGGTTACATGTGAAATGCAACAGGATAACAAAGAAGTATTAGGAGATACAAAATATGCCCTGGAATAAAGGTATAATTTGTCGTTGGGTGCTGATGATATTATCTGGTATTTGCATGTGCTTGTACAATTGGCCTGAGAGGCTAAATCTTCATGTATTTCCAAATAATGATGTGAAATTTAAGGTATTGCTCAAATGTACAGACTTGACTGGAGTTAAGTTATTATGCTTCTCAGGTAGCCTTAAGTTTTATGTTGTTTCAGAGACAGGAAAAGAATACAGTGCCCTCACATATTCTGCATCCTTCCTTTCCTCAGCCATCCTACCATTTTTTTCCTCTGTATTTCCTTTCCATTTTTTACCCACCTTTGTTCTTTCCATCTGTTTTCTTCATTTTCTCACTTATCTGTATCAGTGGTTCTTGAACTTTTCATTTTTTTGAGTCGCCTGGTAAGTTATTTAAAAATAGAATCATAGCCTCTTCTCTTAGATTGATAAACATGGACCAGGGATGAGGCCAGAAGTCTGCATGTTTATTTTAATAAGGAGCTCAGGAGATTTTGATTCAAGTGACCCCAAATCCAGAGCCAATGATATAAATACTGGTTAGCTTCTCTCCTGAAACACTGTTAAACATCCTGTTTTTAATTTGGAATTCTTAATTTCTAGACTAACTATTCCTTCTGGCCTTTTGACAAATGGCAGTAAGTAGCTACTTGGTGCCTTAAAACATGGACAGTGACATACACATACCACTCCATCTTCTGCCATGTGAAGCCTAAGGACTGCTAGCAAGAAAGCTATCACCAGGAAAGAACCCTCAACCTTGTTCCCCCAGGACCATAAACCAACATAAATCTCTTTTCTTGATAACTCTGAAGAAAAATTACCAAAAATTCCAGGACAATATCAAGGATGTTGTATTGATGACAATCTAGAAATGTGATCAGTGTCTAAATGGCTTTGTATCCTGTGTATTTCCTTTACATATTGGGAAATGAAGGTAAATTAGTAAGAGAAGAGCTGGTGTAGAATAGCTTTGTCACCCTAGGTCCCGGTTTATTTTGGGGAATTGTTAATATTCAAACACCTATTTACTATCCCAAGAAACTTCTTGGAAGATTTCATATCCTAATTTCTAATTTAGAAGATAAAATGAAAGGTCCCTACATTTTTAAAAAAATTTTTTAGTTGTAGGTGGACACAATAACTTCATTTTATTTTTATGTGGTGCTGAGGATTGAACCCAATGATGCCTCATGCATGCTAGGCGAGCACTCTACCACTGAGCCATAACTAACTACCCAGTCCTAGATTTAAGGTCAGTCTTGCTGCTGCTTTTACTTTGATGTGATTCCACTGAGCTAGTCAGTTTTCCTATGTGTAAGTTTCAGCATCTGAAGTGGCATTTTTGTTCAAAAATCATAAATTTTTATAGTTGAAAGAAACTTTGGTCATCATCCCTCATAAAAACCAGAGTGGTTCAGTGAGTTTAGGTTGAGTTATAAAGCCTGGGTTGGACTATCAGCTGAACATTTTTTTCTACTAACCTTTGGGTTAAATCATCTTCATTGCTTCCGTTTTCCTTTACAAATTAATCTTGCTTAAAGCTCATTTTTGTTTTTCACTAGAGAATATGTCAATTCCTTAATGACAATGTTTTATGATAAATACCTATGACTTTTGCTATATTCCTTGGTTAGTTTGAATTTACAAATATGTAGCCATATATCACCTCATGTAATACCATTTCAATCTTAATATATTGTTTATGTCATTATAGTTACAAATGAATTTAAGAGAACTAAGTAATTTTCCCAAGGACCTAGATATTAGATCTGGAACTTAAACTTAAATTCTTGTTTTTTTTTTATTCTAATCTTGGGTTTACCTAAAGGTGAATGATTCCAGGCTGAAATGATTGGTGTTCCAACATGGACTGACAAGTTTTACCAAGAATAATTCTTTTAATACTCAACTAAGGACTTAGGAAAAAATTAATTATAAGCATACAGCAGTATCCTTCAACTTACCTATTAATGCTTAACAGAAAAGCAGCTACTTTTATTTAGTCCATTTTAATATTAAAAAAATATACATGATAGACATTTTCTTTAAAAGATAAGCTCAATAAATAACATGGCAAACCTTTCTCTACATAGTAGTAATACGTTTTCATTTTATGGATTTTTAAAAATATGCTCTTGCTTGTCAGTTTGTTAAAATAGGAAAAGCAACTAGCATTTGTTCTACTGAGCAGATAATTATTTATAAACCCTTTGTCCCCCAGGCACCAATTCATTCTTATTTTGAGAAGATGCAAGTTTTAAAGCTTGCATCCCCTGAAGTGATCCTCCTGCAAGTTACAGATATACAACATTTAAAACAATATTGAAATTTTTCTAGATGTTGAACTCTAGTGGCACACAGAATTTTGAAACTTCATCTTTGAAACTAATGGATACCATTAGTTAAGATTTCCTGTTATATTAGCTATAAAACATTTCAGCAGATGGATTCCAGAATAGGTCACAGCACTGTGAAAAGAAAAGAAAAATAAATTTTTTTCTTTACCTCAGAGGTAGTAATAGATCTTAATTATCTCACTTAAAGTTATTTACAAACTTTTGTGATTCCATGTATGAAGCAAAATGTCTTTTAATTTGTTCTGCCTTTACTCTGTTCCCTCAGCTTCTTACAGGATTTATTATCTGATGATCCACAGTATCTGCTCCATGTCCCTCATAATTCTAAAAATTTTACTGTACCTTTTATTTTACTATTTCCCAGAATTAGTTTTGATATTTTTAGTTTGTTGTTTTCATAACAAAAATTCCACCACCTTGATAATTCAGAACTTTCGTTAGGTTTTTTATCTTTTTAAAAAAATCACCCTCCATTATTGTAAGTTTTGTTTACCTGTCTATCTTTCTCTATCCAATCATTAAGCCATTCCTCCCAACCTTCCTGTCCATCCATCCATCTATCCATGGAGCTCAACCACATCAATTCTCAGTTTTTAAAAAAATACATTATGATTTTATATATAGGTAGAAAATTTCCTACAGTATCACTAATTCCTTTCATAATTAAGTAAGCATTTCCTGGTCAAAGCTGCTTCCTTGAGAAAAGCCCATAATGATTCTTATAATTGGAGTTACACATACATAAACATTTAAAGAGAGACACAAGTTGGATGGTTCAAACAGTATGAAACCCTGAATTTATGTGTAACAAACATTTCTGTCAGCTCATAATTTTCTCTGTCCTTAAAATCAGTTCTCATTCACTTGGAATTTTACACATAGATAACTACAGAAGCAATTTTATAGTGCCTACTTATATATTTCTTCCATACCATTTATGAAACAGATTGATCCCAGTATTCAATCTTAGGGAAGCCTTTCACCATTGATATTTTCTAGGCTGCTGGGTTAGAGTTCATACATAAAGATTAGCACTTGACCTTTGCCTACAAGCTTGAAAACCAAACCTTGCCAGACTAAATGTCTACCACACAATTCACCGTTCTCCTACCACAAGCAAACGAAGAATACCTGATTTATTTATAATAACCATTTGTGAATAGGCCAAACTCTCTTCTGAAGGCCTCACCATAGGGTTGGTCATGCAAGTAAAAGCAGGAAGTCCATATACCTATTTTCTGCATGGGATTTTGGAAGCTGTGAGTACATTCCTATAAATGGTCACTGTTACAGTGAATGCTTAAGCTCTTGAAGCTCAGTAGGCTGTCATGTCTCAGTTCTTAAAATGTGAGTGGTGTAAGACTTTAATCATTAATCACCTGTGTTGAGGATGGATGGTAGCAGCAGTGATTCCAAGGTCATGCTGGCAGAGAAAGTTGGCATATCTAAAGAAGAAAATGTCCCTAAAAAGTACCAGAAATCTGATAATCTGGGTCACAGGCCTGACTCTGCCATCCACTATCGACTGGCATTATTAAACTTAACATTATTATATGCCTCATCTGTATGGCAATCACATTCTAGCATCACATTTTTACCGGAGAGAGAAAAGACTCAGAAAATGAAATAAGCTGCTTTAAAAGCCATAACCAAAAAGTACAGGAACTATGCTATGTAAGATCAGAGTGGTCTGACCACTATTTAGCAAATAACTGTAATTCTCAATTTCTCTGATTTGCAACCTTGTCTGTGAAATCGGCATGTTTACTATGAGGATCAATGAAGTATTTTGAATGCTTAATAGCCTCCCTTCAAAACCATCTGTTTTCAGACGTCCTAATTGTTCTTAATGTCAAGTCACAATCTGACAGGAATGGTCTAGTGGCACAGAGCCCACAGAAATATGGGACTATTCCTTGATCACTGCCTTGTTTTGAACATTGTAAGTCCACTGATGTAGCCTAAAAAAAGACCCAAATTTTCTTCCAGTCACATTATGTGGTAGTTCAAACTCAACTTATGGTCAACTAAAACAATATTTTTCAACAAATGATTTTGTTTAGCCATGATGTGCTAATCTTATGTTTGAGTGATCTTTTTAACTGAAGTCTCACTTCCTTCTTATTAAACAGTTAAAAGAAATAGCTGTTTTTATGACAATGCCCAGAGCTCTAAGAATTAAGATTTCTCTCCAATCTCTACAAATTTCCATTATGTATGTGGGACAGACAAAAGAACTGGATAGATAACTGAATGTAAGTCAAAAGAGAACAGCATTTTGTAGGAATGAAGGAAGAAGGGTTCTGATACGCATATTCATAATTATAATTTAAATCGGATCCAGATTGGTAGGACCTAAAAAGCCTGCTTATGGACATCTAGGTTTTATCTGGTTTCATTATTTTCTTGTAGCAACTAGCATAGTGCCTTCCACAAACAAGTCAGAGAAAGGAAACAACAGGAGTGGTGCTCTATCTCTGCCACAGTATGTTACTTATTGTACCCAAGATACACCATGAAAGTACAAACCCATGCTTTGTCATGAAACCACATCATAACATCTCAAAAATTACCAGCTCAGGAAATAACCATTCTGTCTGCTACCACTGTTTAATCTGAACTCATATGAACCATTTTTTTCTTCCTATCTATCCTTTTTAAAGGAAAAATGTAAAAGGAAAAATTTAGTCCCTCTTAGCCTGACTGGGCTTTTTATTATAAACACAATTATTTCTCTTTGAAATTAAGAAAGAGACCTTTATTGTGGCTGTTTTTAAAAAGTCAAATTTTCATTTCTGCCATGGTCTAGAGTTGAGCTAGGCTGAGGCAGAAATAAAATGAAATGCCTTCAAGGAAGATCTGATGAGAAAGAATAAAAGGAAAAAAAAATATATAAGTACTAAAAGACTGTACCAACAAATCATGGCTAAGTACATAGTCTTTCAAATTTTAAGTGATACCTCAATTTAAGAAACACTTAATATTAAAGGTTTTAAATATATAAAGTTATTAGAACAATTCAACTCTTACCTTACAGGAAACAATTGAGGAAAACATCCTTGTGTTTGAGTGTTGACAAATTTCTGGATCTGAAGTACTTGTTTTAAAAGATGTCCTTTGGAAGATTTGTCAATTTTTGTTAATACCATCTATAGGAAAATAAAATTAGAAATAAAATATTTCTTAATATGCAGTTATACATATTTTAACTACAAATTTTCAGTTACAACTAAGTGACCCATGCATATTTCTAAATCTTTCTAGACCCATTTTCTCATCTACAAAATAAAAACAATAACCCAGAAAGAAGTTGCTCTGAAGATGAAATCTGTTAATATGTATAACATATAAAGTGCACACTATGTGTCTATGATTTAACAGTGTTATTTGTTTTTTAGCATTTTTTTAGTTGTAGATGGACACAATATCTTTGTTTTATTTATTTATTTTTTTATGTGGTACTGAGGATGGAATCCAGTGCCTCATGCATGTGAGGCAAGCTCTCAACCACTGAGCTACAACCCCAGCCCTTAACAGTGTTTTAATTACACAGAGCCACCATACCATGGACTTAAGATTAATAAGAAGGATCCTGGAGCCATATTTGTAATTGCCATCAGCTGTTTCATATGATTATAATATGTCTTGTGATAAAAGATATATAAATGAATATTATTAGGTTGATTTATTAAAACTGCAAACTTAAGATCATTTTGAGTTATAAAATGGTCCAGCCTAATAAGTGATATTCTAAAAGAAAAATTTGAAATTGGGCTATTTGTAGATTTTATCTATTATAGTTACAACCCAGTTAAATGTTAGAATTTTACTTGTCCAAATACAGCTATATACTGGAGAAACATTAAAGCATGGATGCTTAAAAATCAATTAAGATGTAAAACACTGATCCATCAGGTTTTCTTGGAAGCATTTCTATAAAATTAAATTTCGTGATGAATCATTTATGCCTTTTACAAATAAAAATGCTAATGGCAAAAGGAGTGAGAATTCAGAAAAGTGTATGGTTTCTAATGACCTATGAATCAACTCAAATAGGAGTCTTTCCTCACAAAGGCAAATGTGCTGAAATACATACATGCATGGACATGTAAAAATATATATGAATATATGTGTGTGTGTATATATACATATATTCACATTTCCTCAGTTAAAGCTTAGTAAAATATGATTTTACAAACTGGTACCTATGATACAAAATTATGAAAGCTATTACTTAATAAAATCAATTTGACAATATTTAGGCATTTTTACTATGTAAGACTATCATCCTTTGATGCCTTATGAGTTATTCTGATTTACAGAATTTTCGCAAACCCCAAGATTTTCACAACCTAAAGAAGATAAAAAAAGTGGCTACTAATATGATTTGATTTAAACTCCACTGTTATATTTTAATCGTTTTCTAACACTTGGTGGAAAATAAACTAAGGTCATTAAGTTCTTCACTTTTCTTTATGAAGGAACTTTAAGAATGCTATTTTATCTGGAAATATAAGGAAATAAAATCAATATGGATTCTAGCCTGCTAATCTGTATTTTATTCTAGGTGAGATGACAGAAACAGTGTTAGTAAGATATTCCCAGAAGAAATTCTGTTTCTTTAAGGGTACAAAAATCATACTGTGTGTGCTGGAGTCTGCTATATTCTTGGAATGATTTTTAAATTCCAAAATAAGTTCACAAATTTTTCAGTTTGTACTTCTATTACATTTGGTAAGTATTATCTGCCAAGCTGCTGTTAAAGAGCTATTAACATGTTTTATTTCCATATTTAAAAAAAAAAAAAGGAAAAGCAAAGCACTTAGGAACACTAAATGAACAGCTTAAAACACTTTTACTTTAATTATAATTTAAAAAACTTAAAACTGAGAGAAAGAAAAATGAACAAAAGTGCCACTCTACATAAAGTGCCAACATAAAGTCACTTTCCTTTGTATTTTGAGAGGGAAAGACCTATTCATTCATTTAAATGTTTGCACACATATATAGCCAAACAGAACTGATGTTTCTAACTGCAAACATGAGTCCAAAGAAAGACTTACCACATATGGTAATGCAAATTCTTCACACATTTCTATGGCAATATTGTCTGTTTTTGTAATTCCAACGGCACTATCCACTAATAAAAATGTTCTCTTCAAACTAAAAGAAAGAAGAAAAGATTAATGGCACTATAAGATATATTCATTCATTTCTCTTCCTATCCATCCTTACTATATTAAGAAATTTCCCTTTGAGTATTTTTGATCCAAAATTAAAAAATTTGTTTAGGCAAAAGGAATTCTAAATTAATCAGGAAGTTTATCCTAATAGTTTAATAGGTCTCAAGGCTGCTTACTTTCAATAACTTAATTTGTTAAATATTAATTTATTTCAATAAGCATGTATTGAACATAAGTCTGACTGGGATTTTTGTTCTGATGAGTAAGTCCCTTCTTCTAAGACCTTAAAGTTTGTTTTTTTTTTTTTTTTTGGGGGGGGGGGGAGACACAAATCCAATTTTACTATACATTATAGAAATGTTTAACTTTTTAAATATTAAGACAAACAGATAAATCGAAACCAGATACATGATATATTGCATTTTCTTTTGTAAATATTTCACCTTACTTTCTATGTAAAGCTATAACACCAAGATTGGTACCAAACTTTATTTTTTAAATTGGTGGGCCTAGAGATCAAAACCAGAGCCTCTAGCATGTTCAGCAAGCACTTTACCACTGAGCTACACCCCCAGTTCTAGACAAATTTTTACATTTCAGAAATTTAATAGTTTTCTCTATATTGTGCAATTCCTGAAACAGAACTGTCATTTCACTACCAACAGAGACATGAAAGTAAAGATAACATTTTCAGAGGATAAAGCTGAGGTATTTAAAAAATAATCTGAATTTACTATAGTTTATTTAAATCTGGTAAATAACACATTAACCAATTATTTTCATTTTTAGAAATTAAGAGTTTGGTTTTTAAAAAAATGAACACTACTGAAGTATTCTAGAGTTTCAATTTAGGAAAATACTTGAAGTTAAGATTACAGACACCTACAGGCAGAAGCCAAACAAACATACCTTTTTCCTAAATATTATATCATAGAATATTATGAGAATAAAATGGACCTTCTAAATTAAGTCACTTCATAAAAGTGAAATGTTCATCATGTGCAGAATATTCCACTGATAAAAAATGTATTTGGGGATTAAATGTGTTAACTACTATAAGAAAATAAATTTCCTTACTTCCTTCGTTCTTTTAGATAGGCCTCTACCATGTCAACAAAATCTTCTGGTGCTCTATAGCCATAACCTGGCATGTCCACCACTGTAAAATACTTTCCAACTTTGAAAAAATTCATTTTCTTTGTATGACCCTGATAAATGAAAAAATAAAAGCTGACTTAAAATATGTCTTTTATGTATTTCATGTGTTGGAATGTTTTCTATTCAACTGTGTCAAACATTTATTAAAAGCCCCGTATATGATCCCCAAGGATTCTGACGATGACAGAGGAAAAGAAAACAGAAGGGAAGTGGCTGGATATAAGGTTGGCTTATACTACTTTCTCCTTCCAATTCATTGTCTTAAAATAGAATCCGTATTAAGAGCTTTAGATTCTGTATAAGAAATATGGAAAAATACAGTCAAAATGTTGTTGAGTCTTGCCTATTTCACTCTCCATGGAAAACATCAGTCTGTTCTAAATTGTGTGATTGCCATAGTCATAACAGGTTTTTGTAACATCTAGATCCAAAACCTGATAAGTTTCTTACCCCTAAATTATTGCTCTCCTATAGTTGTTTTTCATGTTTTATTATGTGAGTTTTAGTGCTCTCATTAAATCATGTACTATAATTTTAAAACTAAAATTGATGTAAAGGTAATATGTGGTTTATTTATGATTTTGTGTCCATGAGACATTTATTAATCATGAAAAGAAAAGACAATTTAGTTAACTGTTTTGATCTTAGAAAAAATATTATCAAAGGTTTTTTTTTAATAAATGGTGATTAAACTTCCAATAGGCTTATTTGTCCATCAGAAGACGATTTTAGAATTATGTGACTTGACAAGACTGAGATTGACAATGTCAAGAATAAATTTCATCCATTGTCCTCTTACATACATACACCTCTACCTAGAAGTTATAGTTTAGCTGGTTTATATGGTAAGGCAGGGTAGGAGTGAGGATGGGAAGGTTAAGAAAGGAATCTTTAGTGATAAATCCAGAGAATCAACTACTTCAAGAAGTGAGGAACAAAAGATTAGTGAAGCCTCATGGAAAAGCTTAATGAAAGGATCAGGGAGTAGTGAGCATTGGAGTCAGTGGTTTTGCCAAGGACAAATGATATGGTAATGGGAAGTGAGGGTGATTTGAGAATATAATGTCATCTTAGATATCGGTAGAGTCTGCCTCCTTAAAGAACAGAAGGAACTGGAAAATGACAGAAGGGATAAGAAGTACATGGTTTGGTCTTGGGTAAACACAATATGCGGGACAGGTAAATGTGTAAGAATGTGTATGTTTCAGAGAGTGAGAAAATTAGCAAGGTATAAAAGATTACTGGAAGAAAAAAGCAACAAAACATTGAAGCTGTTTCCCCTCAAACATATATGGAACTAGATGATCATTATTTAGAAGGAAATAATACAATTCTAATAAAAGACTTTGTTAATTCTTTGGAAAATAGGGAAAAAGGAAGCTTTTGAAAAACATCTTTTCTCAAGGCACTTACCAATTATTTATCATCCAATATTTATTACTCATCTTAGTCAATTTGTGAGACAGTCTACTGGTATTTAAAAATATCAACATACCGGTTTTTTGGAGACTCTAACTTCAACCTCCGGGGCCAGTGAAAATAAAGCCTTTATTAGGGACGATTTTCCAACATTGCTTCTGCCTATAAAACATACCTTACACAAGAAAAAAGAAGAGAACTGAGTACTAGTTTATTTATTAAATGCCACATTCCCCACAGAACCAAATTGTTCAGTTTTGTCAAGGCACATAAAAAAAATGGCTTCTATGTGGTCAAACCTCACATTCTAACACACAGCTAATATTTATGAATAATTTTAAAGTGCTAAGTACTGTAAGCATTCAACATTATTTTCTTATTTATTTTTCATAACAACCCTATGAAATGGGTAATATTATCATCCCCATTTTAGAAATGAGAAAATATAACTGGCCCCAAATTAAACAGTGAGAGTGAAGGAGCTGGGATTTGAAATCGGGGCATTTAGATCCAGAATCTGTGCCTTAAATTACACTACTCAAGAATACCAACATGTTTTTGTTGTTGTTGTTGTTGTTGCTGCTGTTTTTTGGTGCTACTGGGGATCAAATCTAGGGCCTTGTGTAAAAGGCAAGCACTCTACCAACTGAACTATATCCCCAGCCCAAGAATACCTGCATGTTTTATTAAGCATTACATATTTACAAAGCTTTCTGGAGAAACCAAAAAAAAAAAAAAAAAAAAAAAGTTATTTCAACAGAACTGGCTCAAAAATACAACTACATGCTTGGAAGCACATTTTCTCAAAACTACCACAGTATACTGTAACTCCATGGTATTTCAGAGTTTTTTTTTTTTTCCTTGATCTTTTTATTTCCAATTAAGATTTTAAGGCTGGGGCTGTAGCTCAGTGGCAGAGCGCTTGTCTAGCATATGTGAGGCACTGAGTTAGACATAAAAATAAACAACAACAACAAAAGGCATTCTGTTCATCTACAACTACAAATTTTTTTAAAAGATTTTCTCCTCTGTAATGTGGAAAGCAACAAATATTCTTGAGAATCACCATCACTACACGTGGCTTTGCTTAAGAGTAGACACCTCCAAACAGTTCTAAATGAGGTCAGAACTGCTCCTTGGAGGACACTCTGGAAATCTTCAAGGGCATTTTTGGTTATCAGTATGACTGGGAGGCATTCAGTAGACAGAGGTCAGAGATGCCACACAGTCTACAAAACTGTTAGTCCTTCAAAATGAATGATAAGAAAAAACAATAGTACACAAAAGTCCATTAATTATAGCAGTTCTACATAATTTAGAATAAAAATTTCAGGGCAGTGTTCCATTTACATGGCAAAGGCGATCTGAACCGCCTTTCAGCAAACTCAAAACAAAATACATTATTAAATTGTAGAACAAGGAGAAAATGCACACTCCGAAATTTCACTAATGAAAGTTTAAAAGTCTCTCGTTATTGCTATCTACAGATAATAATTATTCCTGCAGATGATGAGAAATTTAGATAGGGTGAAAATTACATATTGATAAGGATCATCTCATTTATGAATCTATATCATGTCTCCTTCCCTAACTTCTAATTTGTCTCAGCAAGCTTTTACGTTTCAATTAAAAAGGAAAAAAAAATAAAAGGACAGAATTTTCTTTTTGAACGCTTAGTTCATGTTTCAAAACCTCTTAAAGTCTTCAGTATCCGTCATCATAATAATTAAAACTATATGTGTGTGTTTTCGTCTTTATTTTTGGTGCTGGGGATTCAATTCAGAGGCCTCAAGTACACCAGGCAAGCATTCTACCACTGAGTCACATCCCCAGCAAAACTATATATACGGTTATCTAAAACATGCGCCCACACAAAACCAGAAAACCTCTCTCCTGGGTGACGAGAAACCAGTGGTGGTAACCCCCCACCCCGCAAGCCTCCTTCAAGACCTGCGGCAGGCGGTGCTCGGGTGGTCTGAGGTTTCATATCTTGGGGACCGTGAACCAGAGCAGCAGCAGCTCTCACCTCAGGTCGGGAGAGGTCCGGAGCGTGATCTAGCCGCACAGCGGAACTGATGTACTCAATACGGTTCCGGGCGGAGGAAGCGAAAACACTCTCCGCTCTCGAGATATCCTCCAGGCTAGGGTCGAAGACCCTCAGGTGAAGGTCGGGCATTGAGTCCGGAACAAGGTGCTGCTCGAGTTCCTGCAGTGGGTACACTAGCTTGGTCAGCTGCTTCTTCGGCAGCCGTAGTACCTCAGCAAAAGTCTGGGACGTGCTGTAAGCTCGGCCTTGGTGCCCCATTGCCGCCGGCATCTTAAAGAGCTGCTTCATTCCAAGCCGTAGGCAGGGCGCAGCCATTTTTCTTTCCCAGAAGCCCCGCGGCGGAGTCCTTTTCCCCGGGTCTGGGCAGCGCGTGCGTGAAGGCCGCTGCCGCGGCGCCTGCTGGGAATTGTAGGCTCCGCTGGCCTTTCCCGCTCCTGCGGGCAGTGAACTGTGGATCAAGCCTGCTGGGTTCCTGAAACACCCTTGCTTTAACGACTGTGCCGCGGACTAGTACCTTACTACAGGAGGGTGCTTAACGGTTTCCAGAGGTCAAAGACCTATTTTGCTACGTGGTCCTGATACGAAGGTCCTTGTCTCCATTGGCAATCCAATAAGGAGAACAATGGTTTTAGAAAAAGGAAAAGAGTTTAACTGATTTGCTAGCAAAGGAAAAACACGGAATTCCTGTCCCAGAGGCTGTGATTCTGTCAGGGGGAACACAGAGCTTTAAAAAGAGGGGTGGGGTCCAAATATTGTCAGTAGATTAGTGCTCATCGGAGTTCTTGAGAGAGCCGTTGCTTCAGTTCCCGGGTTTGGAGTTCTTTAGTATTGCCGGCCTGACACTTGGGGTAGAGAAGAATATGATAGGTTACCCTTGGACAGGAAAAATGTTAGTCTTGTTCCCGCCTGCCACTCTGCTCTTTGGGATGGGGAGGGGCAAGAAGAAAAAGGAAGTAAGAAAAACAAGTCAGTTTTAAGGTAAGCCTTATGAAGTGAAGCAGCAACGTTTACTCGGGCATAAACTGGACCCTGGTTACAGTCCTTGGTTCGCAATTGAGGGCGTAATGCGGAGTGAGACTCTGGTGGATTCCAAAGCCCTTTTATTTTCACAGTTTTTTTTTGTTGTTTAAGGAACAGTTGACCATTGTCATACATTCGCATAACTAAGAAAAACACTTTTTTTTTTTTTTTTTTAAACAACTGGTGAGAAATGTGGTTGGAATAGCACCTCATTTTCAGGAGAGGGAGTGTTATCTCTGCTTTTCTCTAGAGGTGCAGGAAATGTCATTAAAGTTTTAGAGATTTCTTACAAAATAAATGTGAAACAATTGTTGTATGGAAGTTCCATAACAACATTTTATTTCACAAGTTTCTTCTTAAAGCAATTTAAACTGATCAGTGGTGGAATGGGAGATAACAGGTTTCAATTTGATGAACTGACTAACTGAAAGATATTCCTGTGTAAAAACCAAAGATCTTATAAAACACCAGCAGAAAATAGCAGTGGAGTGGTAACTCACATCTCTCAGCCGTTTCCCGAGTTGTTTGGTAACTAAACAGTGCAATTCTTGAATAAACACAATACGAAAATTAATGAACAGAACCAAGGAGTTCCTGATAGCCAGAATAGCAGCTGGACTAATGTTGGCTGGCTAATTTTTTATTGATTTTTGCATTAGGCTCTAGGCCTCCCCTCTATTTCCTAGACTCACTCCCCCATAAAACAAACAAACAACAACAACAACAAAAAACCCACTTTATTGTGTACATCCAGAAACCTGGAATCCATATATTGCTTTAAAATGCCTTCTAAAAAAAAACGTTGGAGCATCAGTTTTGGAAATCAACCAGAGAATAAAGGACGTTTGGCAATTCTCAGAACTGTTTTGGGGGCATTCAGGGATTAATAGATGTCATGGTACTCATTTTGTAATCTTTCATGGGTCTGAATCCTAAGTCATTTTGGAATTCACTTGATAGGACAAATCATTTTGAAATCATTTGGCAGGACAGTTTTTGCAACTTAGGACAATCTTTACAAACTAAATCACCATGCAAAGGTTGGCAAATCAAATAATCCACTGGAAATAAATACGACTAGGAAAATAACTTGAAAATTTATTTAATCATCTTTTCCCCTCTTTCACTCCATTCTTTTAAGGCATATAAAACTTCAGAAAGATAGTTTACATGATATGTTTTGTTGGGCACATGTGATCAAACTCTTCCTTAATTTCCATTGTAGGTGAAAGATGAAACATGGATAGCAGCAAGACCTACTAGTGAGGGGAAAGGCCTAGAATTTGGAGGGATTGCGAGAACTAACTCCATTTTACAGCTGCAATGGAAATCATAGAGAATACAGAGTATTCTCAGAGTCCAGGAAAATCAAGCCAAAATCAGCATCAAAGGGAATCAAGTCTGGTGAATGGGATGTTGCAGTAGGACTCTGAGTTCTGGCGATACTCTGATCCTATTGTTGGAAGCATCCTGGTTCCTGGTGGTCTGTGCTTATAAAGTAGGACTTTAGTCAAGAACTGTAGAGTGGGAGTCAGAATCTAGCCTCCTAGATCAGGGCTTGGTCTTGGGTAAGATTCAGAATAAGGTTTAATCCTGGAGCTGAAGGGAGGAATACAGATTAAAAAACTATGCTGTTTTTAAATATACACACCTCCAACTTATAATATCCCAAACAGGAATCCTGATATTCTCTCATTCTCTCCTGAACTGGTCTTTTTGTAGTCATTCTTATCACAATAATTGGTAATCACAGTCTCCCAAAGGACACAGCCAAACAACTTGGGAACAAAATTTTTGATTTTTTTCCCACTTAAGCTCTACATTCAATCTGTTAGCAATTCTGTTTTTACTTTCAAAATGTATTCTGAATTTGATACTTTTTGATACATCCCATTGCTACCATCCTTTTTTTTTAAATTTTTATTTTTTATTTATAACAGCAGAATGTATTACAATTCTTTTTACATATATAGAGCACAATTTTTCATATCTCTGGTTGTATATATAGTATATTCACACCAATTCATGTCTTCATACATGTACTTTGGATAATAATGATCATCATCCTGATGCAAGCTCCCATTATTTCCTGCCTAGTTTATTGCAAGAGCCTCTGAACTGATCACCCATCTTTGCCCTTTGCCCCCTTCAGTATATTCCCAGTACATCAGTAATCATTATTTTGTCAAAATGTAAGCTAAAATCCCCCATATCTTCTTTTCTCACTCAAAGGAAGGCCAAAGTTCTTACACTAACCTAAAAGGCCTGCATGGTTTTCTTTTCCTGTTCCCACTTTTATTCATCTGACTTCATCTATTATTATTGTCCCTCTTCTCTACTCTATGCAAGGCACACTGTTATCCTTGCTGTTTTCAAACAAGCTATACACACTCCTATTCTTAACTCCTCACACTCCTGCCAAGAATGCTTTCCTAGTTAATCACACGGCTTATTCCTTTCCATTTAGGTTTCATTTATGGTCCTTCTCAGAATAACTGCCTTCTATTTTGAGAACTGAGGAGGCAGTTCACCACAAAGTTACCCCATTTTTAAAAATCTATGATGAGTTGGACAGACCTTACATACCTTAACCCATAGCTCATGAGTCAAGTTTTATCACTAAAATTAATCTTACCTAAATGCCATAGTTAAACTCTTGTCAGATTGAGCTACCAAGAATAGGAGGAAGATAAAACAGTGTTGAGGTCTTACCACTAGATCAGTGCCATCTCAGTTATTCCTTTCATGATGTATACCTCTATAATGAATGGCCATTGGGTCCAGAGTGATCTCATTTTATGTCAAAGTCTCAATGGTGTCAAGCTTAGAGAATCCATCTAAGACAGGAAGAAGGTAATCATTGTAAACCTAGATAGGTGGGCAGAATCTTGGACATGAGAGAGCCATCATGCAAAGTATACACATAGGTTAACTCTCATTCTAGCCTAATCATGCTTGGAATACCCAGACAGAATCAAGAGCAGAAGTAAGGGCAGCGACACTAGGAAAACTTACTGCTAGATATAGAGAGAAGTAATGGATTAAGTCTTGGCATTTGATTTACACAAGACTTTTTCCTACCATCACTTTTTCACATGTTTTAACAATAATTAATATTGAATGCATGCTATATACCAGCTTTGATCTGGGCACTGGGGCTTAAACATGGGATTTACCTGTTCATGTTGAAATTGGGACCTCAAACTCTTGTAGAAAGAAGAAAATATTGGAGAAAGGAAGAAGGAAGAGGCATTATGTAAAGGACACTGACACATGAAAATCTTCCATATATAATTTAAATTGCCTGGTTTGTAATAACTACTGTCTGAAAAAATGATTTAAATTTAAAATGCCTTTAATTACACTTTCCTAAGTTACACATTTCATTTAAAAATTTATATTAAAGATTACCTACACATTGATACAATTTGTGACATACACATACAACATGATACATGAATTTTCCATCTTATTTGTCAATTTGGTATAGGTTACTATTCTTGGGATTTATTATATAACTATCATTCAAGAAAAAGCACAGTCATATCTACCATAATCTTCTTTGGAAGCTTATTAAATCATTGAATTTCACTCATATGTCATTAAAGTACCTTTAGAGAATGTCTCTAACTTCAGAGAGTTTCTTTTCTTCTTCAGAAAAGCTTTTTGAGCTTTCTCTTGAGGTTGTGTCTGCTGTACCAACAAATTTCTCTAAAGAGATCTGAAGATTAAAGTATCAGACAGTACTCGTGTGGGAGGTGAGTTCCTAGAATGATTTGGGTTCGGAAGGAGGAGTACAAATTTACTTACCTCAAAGTTGTTTTTATCAATATAGAGAAAACCGTTGCCCTAAGTAATATTAATTTTTCTCATTGGTAATTGTGTATTTGGCTCTGTCATATTAGTGCTATTAAAATATATTGGAATGTTTTGCTATATTCAATTCATGTTTTTATATTAGTAACGAACTCAGGATTTTGTTGAAAAAAGCATGGATCTTGCTGTTATGACTGATTAATTAACATTTAAGTATATGTTACTTAGTAGGCAAGGCTATTCTGATGGGAGATACTTTGCGTACACCTCTAATTCACATCTCACTGCCTTCTTGCACATGAACAATATGCTCTTTGACACCCTGATAACTGAGACAATGTTCCACAGGCAAATATACTGATATATATTCCAGTTTTTTACTTATTCTCAGGTAGTGGGTCAGGAGTCCCTAGACCTAGCTCCCAAAGGTGAAATACTAGTATTCACAAGATTCAGCATGTAACTGTGCTCTTGGCTAT